AGCGGCGGTGGCCACCCCTGCCCGGCCCCGGTGGCGGAGAGGCCCCCGCCGGGGTGCTGGGGCGCCTGGCGGGGCCGTCCCGGTGCCTCGGGGCGCCTCAGCCCTCGGCGAGGTCCCGGCTTCCCGCCGTGAGGCGAGCGGGGCTGCCCCTGCCCGCCTGAGCCTGTCTGTGCTGGGAGCTTCCCTTGTGCTAGTCGGGGCGCCGCGGTCTGCGGCTGCCTGGCCGTGCCCGCCGAGTGGAAGGCGTGAGTCGGGGCGTCAGGTTCTTCGCAGGCCTCCGGACTCTGTTGTGCTTCTTCGTAATTGTCCCTCCAATAAAACGCCAGTACTCGTAGAAAAGCAGTCTGTATCGGTGAATTGTTCGGACGGTCAGGCCTGCTCGGTTTTCTTACGCTTACTTGAAAAGAAAGTTTTCTTTATTGTGTGCGGAGACCTTGTGTTTGTGGTTTTTAAGGGCAGTATTAATTTCTCTTTTCTCTTTTCTTAAAGCTGTCAGAGTTTGATATTCCCTATGGTTGAGAGCTGTGGCGTGCTTGCTGGACAGGCGCGTGCCAAACTTTTGTCTTGGAGAGACTGGGGAGTTCTAAAATGATAATCTTGCGTTTAGAAATAATTTTGTGGATTTTAGTAACTTTCCGTTCTCGTCTTTGTAGATGATATCGGAAGGTTAATCTGGTTTGCATTAGAGCTCATTTTAAATTAGTGCACCTTGTTCTATGAGAAATAACACCTCCCCCTTCCATCTCTTATGAAAAGAGTTAAGAGGTGGTTGGTGCTTGACTAAGGATATAATGGAGTTGCAGCTGCAGGCTGTTTAAAATAGTCACAGGTTGGTAAACTGCAACTACAGGAACCTCTGAAAGTTCAGTTCCTATGCATTTCCTCTGCTGGTGTCTCTTTAGTGTCAACTAGGTGGTAGTTTTGTAATGCAGTATGTTTCTTCTCAGCTAGACTGAGGTTCAGACCAAGTTACTTTTCAGGATGTATGGCTTAACCCCTTTTTGAACAGATGTAGTATTTGTAAATGGTGTTAGCAGTAACTGCATTGTATTGTTTGTATTTCTTTTGGGTAGGATAATAAACATTTATCTATTGCTGGATTTCAACAGCAGTAAAGTGGTCTGTACCATTAATGTGTGCTCTACAGCTGCATGGGAGGAGTGGCTGTGTGCTCAGTTGAAGAAACCTGTGGTCTTTTGGTCTTCTTTTGTACTTTACAGTCAGCTGTCATTCTTAAGTAATTGCAAGCACCTCTTTATGTTCTAAAGAACAAAGTTTACTTTGGCAAACGGTAACTTTTCTTGGATGTATTGAAGAGTGACTTGTAGTTAGACGTTCCTTTCTGCCAGAAACAACTAATCTGAGTGGGGTAAACTTTCTCATGAAGAGGACGTGGGAAAAATTGGAAAAACAGCTTCTTTTATCACTTTAACACTTATCTAGGGCGATTGTTTAATACATAGGCTTCTTGTTGCTTCCTGTTGTTTTTATGAAGAACTTCAAAGCATTTAGTCATAGCTGTCCACATTGGTTGAATAAGTTATTTAGATTTCCTTATTGATAGGCCATGTTGGGAGAAGAAAAAAAAATGTGGGCAGTGGACTGGACCAGATGGCATGATAGAGTTTTCTTCCCAGCAAAAATGATTCTTTAGAGGTAGCGAATCAGACACATAAGCATGTCAAACTCTCTTAGTTCCAGTTATACATGACTATGTGTCTTAGTGAAAACATTTGATTGTGTGACTTACTGCAATTCTATGTATTAAGAAAGAGTTGTCGAGAAAATGCAGTATTGTGTTAATACTTGGTTTCAAGAGTTAGAAATTTTGGTTTTCTTCTTGATAGTGGATGCTTTTTTTTTATGACCAGGTTTAAAATGTGAAGCCTTGATAAAACCTGATCTGTGCCTGTGGGACTATTTAGGTGTTTACAGTTTTAGTGTGGTTTGGTGAAACTCAAACTGATGTATAGCATATCTTGTGTAACAGGATACATCCTTCAGTGTTTAGGTGTCACTATTTCAATATTGCCAACTTTTCCAGCTCTTCAGAAATGGAAAGCCAGGCCACCCAGATAATGATACTTTAAAAATTTAAGTTGTCTTCATCTGCTTCCTAATCATGAGTGTTCAGGGTTCACCATTCCAAGCGTTTTTTTTGCAACCAGGAATGCTGCTACTTTTTTCTTTTTTGATGGAATCTGCGATTTCCCTGTTACTACAGATTTTTTTCTATATATAAGGTTTTTAAATAAAATGTAAGTGCAAAGTACTTTATCTTCCTACATTTATTCTGCACCTCAGATTTCTCACACCTCTAAAATACTGCTCTTCTGAAATTGTCCTGTGATAGCTGTAGATGTGAGTTAACCTACAGAAAAGCTAGAGACAGGAGGCTGTGGGAAAGGGAGCTGGACGCAAGTAATCAGAAGGTGGAGTGACAACTCCAGAGGGCTCTGAAGTAGCCTTCTCATATGTTAGTCATGTGCATGCAGCTTTTGCAGTAGAAGCTACAGGTGTGAAAGTATGTTGTTGCATGCTCTTATTGTCTGAAGCTCCCTTTTCTTTTAATTGAAGGTGGTGTAAACTAGTTGGCTCCCCCTTTGAGTGACCCCATCTTACGGAAATGCTGTCTGCTGTGGCTGGGTAGCACCAGCATTATTCAGTCAGGTCTCCCACAAAGCAACTAGCTCAAGGAATTCCTTACTGGCTTCACAAGGGAAGCCAGTATTTTTTTGTTTTGGGTTTTTCTTTTAAATCTCAGCTTTTCTCTTCCAGGGTGCTGTTCTCAGCAATGATGTCCCAGGCTAACTTCTAGTCCAATTCCATCTTCTCTGTCATCTTTTCTGTGCTCCCAGAGTGCTCTAAGGGTTAACTCCTTTGCTGTACAAAGCTGATAAATCTGCTTACAGATTAAATGATACTATTTTCCATTCTTTAACATATTTCTGTATCTAGCTAATTCTGGAAGTGGATTTTTTCATGGCTGAATCTAGTATTGCATTTTTGTCATGCTATACCAGGTAGTGCTTGACCTTGCAAATACTTCTCATAGTCACTCACAAGATGCTTATTTAGAGACAATACCTTAGGATTAAATGAATGCAGAATATTTCAGCAGTAACCAAATGGAATGGAAAATGGAAGTCATATTTCATTCTGTGTGGTTACATCTTTCTTGCAAAGCTTGTCCTTGAAAACAAAACATATCAAATGTTAAATCAAAAGATTTTTTTTTTTTTACCTGCATGCTGAGAAATGGAAATGTTGCAGACAGTTCCACCCAAGATGCTTTCTTAAAGTTGTAGCTGGAAGGTGATAGTCAAGGTTAGAATGTAATAAATGATAGGCACTTGACTTAGTACATCATGGCTTTCACTTGTATTTAAAACATACTGGTTTATTCTTCAACAGCAGACTCTTGTGTGTCTGATGTGGCAGGAAGGTATTAAGTTATTGTGGATAGCTGTATGGCTTGGACTGTGTCATGTATTTCTTTTTGTCTTATTCTTTTGATCAGCGAAACAGAAGTCTGTTTTACAATAATTCGAGACTTTTCCTGTGCTCTAGCAGGACCTTTTCTGTCTATCATGTATCAAGCAACGCAACAAATACTGTACTTGCAGCCATACATAGTTGACTTGCTAAACAGAAAACAAACCTGAGTAACTGAATTTTAAGGTTCAATTCTTTAGCTTGTCAGAAGCAGTGAGAAGCCCCCACATAGCAGCCTTATGCTTGCTTTCTGCACTGAATGAATGACTGCAAAATGCAATACTGCTGTTTTTATCATTACTGCTTGGTTCTATTGCTATAGAGATGGAGTGGTGTTTTGTTAAAATTTCACACTGAGATGGGGTAGTTTCTGTCACAGTCCTGTGTTGTTTTTTGTTGTTTTTTTTTAAGCTTCTGTTCTTTTGTTAACTTTTGGTGCTGTGATCTTCCACAAAGCTGATGTTAATGTCATCAAAGTAAAATAGGAGTTGCTTTTACATTTGTTTGTTGCAGACCTATGCATCCAGTAGGATCTGGAACAGTTTCTCAAATGAGTTCAGCAGTAAGGGATGCCTGCAGAGAGGTTATATGAGTTAATCTGCCAGAAGAAATTCAATCCCCATATTTCATTTTAAGACCACTTTGCGTAGCAAAGTAGTTTAACCAGCAGCAGATTTTTTACTTGCTGATGGTTAATTTCATGCCCTACAAAGGGTCAGCACACTAATACAGAAGAACATGATTACCTCATCTTAGCTCCCCCCCCCCCCCCACATGCACACAGTGAAGGGATACTGCAGCGTTTGTTTTATGTGAGCTGTTGTCAGATGCCCTTTATCTGTTTGATTTTGAGATGGGTCCTCAAAAGAACTTCTAAAAAAAAGTTGTCTTTTTTCTCTATGAAGTTCAAAGGACAGAGTAGCCTTATAGGGTTTTAATTGGAGAGCTACTGCTTGACCCCGGTTGTCTAAACTGGGGCAGGGGGGAATTCTGACAAACTTGTAGTTTTGTAATCCTTATGCCTGTCTGAACCTTCGACCTTTTTACTTTATAACTAGAGCTTCATTGTCACCATTTGTCCCTGCAGTTCCTTTCAAAGAAAACTGCCTTGCCAGTGTCTGTTTCCACTTTGCTGCTGTGTTCTGTTAAGGAAGGGTATTAATTCATACCTGCTACATTGGAGGGGCCAAGACTTTTGAACTTGCACAGGAGCTTGGGGAGGGGGAAATGAGCATAGCAAAAGCATGTCTTGCTGATGCAAATGAGTACAATGAAAACAGTCTTGGGAGATCAAGGGAAATGTGGTCTTGCTACCAGCATTCAAATTTGATCAGATGCAGATTATTTGTAACATTAACATAGCACACACACAAAAAGTATTTTTATCACAGTTAGGCGTTTTGCTGAGTTTGTTGTAAGCTTTTGAGAGGATTTGTAAACTCTGGGTTACCTTTGCATTGCTGTGATGAAAAGACACTTCTGTCA